TATTGAATGAAGTCGAGGGGGAAGTTCTCAATCACATTCTCTCATTGAATAACTTGTTACTACCTGCAGTCGGCCCACGTCCTCCTATTGGTACATGTACATCTAGAATACCATCGACCGGAGAATTTTCCTGACCTCATAAGTGCGGCAGGCGTTGTGCAACAGGACATATTAGAAGATATTGTACAAGTCGGATCCCTTTGCATGATAACGTAACAGATGTGCAATTGAAGTTTATGTAATATTATTTATAACATTGATGTTAATTATTTATATATATTTTTAATTTTAATTATTAGATTTAATTTTTTCATTTCAATATTTCATTAATTAGTTTCGTAGTATTTTTTAAAACACAGCTCGTTCTCTATAATATACACAAACATTATAAATACGTTATGAAATATTTAAATAAACACATAAACTTCAAAATAAATAATTAAATATTAAATAAATAATATACATTTTACAATTATTTCGTAATTACAAATGAATGAATGAAATATACAATATTTAAATGTTACAATATGTACAGTTATTTTAAAAAACACGGCTCCAATATCTACAGATCACCATTAAATTCAAATAAATCACATGCTAATTTATTTCTCCAATTTTGTATTCATGCATGGTTGATTGCATCAACCTTCTGTGCTACACCCGAAAATTCTATGTACTTGATGACAAACATGCTGCAATCACTCCTACAATTAAACAATATTTATTAGCACATCACCGTCTAGTTAGAACGTAAGTTGTAAATTAAATAAATAAAATTACAAATACTTACGATATTTACCGGCTCGCTATCGTCGTGTCCCGCACGCTGGTCAGTCTAGCCTGCACAGTAATGTTCGCTCGTCTAGCCAGCATGGGAATTATCACAGACACCGACTTCAGATTTTGCTCGAACTGATCTTGTGTCAAGCATGAATGATCGGGATCGTACGCATACATAGTCGAGTGGGCGAATACAATCTCTATTGCAATGTAGTGATGATTCACGCATACCGGGATGTATAGATGTGTATAACCCTCCCATGGCTTTCCCCAACTCAGCCACATCCCTACGACCAACTCTATCATGTATATAGGCACCGTGTCCTCGTTATCTATAGCTTAGGGCGTCTGGTACTCAATTTCAACGACACGTATGAACTCGGTGTTCAATATGAGTCGACCAGGAATGTTGAACGATCTTGGATGTTTTTTAGCTCGATCTCATAGCAAATTCATGGCGAAGTCAATGTGATACATCAAGTTACACCAATTAAAAAATGAGTTATTTACTTTCAAAATTCAAAAATATATATACATAATAAATAACAATATTACTACTTCACTTACATCGTCGGCGAGCCAAGCCCCGAAGTGGTGGTGTCGTGAAACTACTTGTAAGCGTTTGAGATCGTTTTATGAGCGATCCCGCGACTGGCTCTGAAAAAATAAGAAAAGAAATTGTTAAAGAAGTATAGATGTGTCAGCGTTTGTGTAATGTACTAATTCTTAATGAATAATACAATACTTAGGCCTAATTGCTTTCCACTCCGTCTCGAACGATTTCCACTTGGAGTGGTCCACCTCCCTGAATAAATTGGGGAGCGTGCCGTCGACGAACCTCCTCCTGTTCGCCTCAACGATAAAATGAGAAACGATGTATTGTGATAGTACCCTTAGCCTCTTGCCGACCACCAGTTTCGGCACGTCAATAGCACGCGACACCCTCCCGATCTCCAGTACACCCTCATCTACCATTGAGACCACCTCCTTCGTCCCCTCCGACACAAAAACTACGTCCGACGAGTCTAGCGTCTGAGATGGTATCATCTCCACCTCCAGTACCCCTTCTTTGAGTACACCCTCACGACCTCCTTTCGTCTCCATCGAGGCCCGATCCTCCATCTCCATTTCCATCGGGCTACCGAAAAATGAAGCTAATGCATCATCCGATGCCCACGACGAGTCAACGTACCCCATCTAACCCCTCGGCCCTGATAACCACCAATCCTTCCGCCATCCCCTCCATCCCAATACTCGCTACTTCCACCCTGATACTCGCCAGTCCCACGCAGGCTTGCTATGTCATCTCATATCGCTACGACCTCATCATGAAGGTCTCCTAAATCGAATTGTACCATCCCGACATCACGTCGTAAGTTAGCTACGTCGCCTTTGATCTCCATCATAAGTCGGAACATATCATCGATGGAAGCACTTTAACTACGTGCAGCAGATCCATGTGGGAGGTGTCTGGACACAGGAGACGGTGATTTCATGTAGGGAGGTGACACCCTCGACGGAGGTGATAATCGACGGCGCTCCTAAAAAAATGAGCATTACAAACGAATAACTTAATTAAAAAATTATAACGATTATCAACGAATTATATTCAAT